CTCAAGCCTTACATCGATTGCTTCAACTGTCTGATGCAGGAGTATAACGTAGTCGATCATTTGACTCTTTTAGAAGTTTGCTTATTCGATTTGTTATTGGTTGCTGCTGGTCTTGTTATTATTTTCTGTATCATGATTTTGTTTACACGCCAAATGCGCACGTAGCGCGCGTCGCACTTTTTACTATGATTATTATTATTTTTTTTCTTTTTTCTATTTCATCTTTTCTTTATTTATTTTTTTTGTCCGCTCGCCACTCACCTGTTTTTGTTTGTGTTGTTTTTGTTGCTTTTCTATTAGCCTGAATCGTCGCTTGACCACGTACAACATGCACTGCAACAGCGCCAACGACTTTTGCCACCCCGCCCCCCCTCGCTGCCTTCTTGTCTACCTTCCCACTTTTTTTTCGATTTTCAAACACGTAGAGCGCCAGCAAATTTTCCATTTCCCATTAAAACGCGCAAAAGGCCAATGCATAAATGATTGATCCTCTCCCACCACTCTCCACCCTCACTCCCCGATACCTGATTCCTTATCCTCTACCGCTCTTCGATATGGTAAAAGTAACGCGCGTTTCCGTTGAGCTCAGTGCTAGCGGCTCTGGTGCGCGATTCATTCATTCACTTACTCACTCGTTCACTCATACACTCATACACTCATTCATTTTCATTCGTGCCACTATCAACGGCTATTGTAGTTTATTATCGACGGCGTCATTGCCGTGCGGTCATAAAAACCCAACGCTTGTCATCAGACGCCAGGTCTTCGTATTTATATCGGTATCTCTATCTTTACCTGTGTATCTGTAACTCTGTTTTTGTATCGGTGACTGGTGTGAGTGACTGTAGCTGTGACGGAGGTCACATATCCATGACACACCTTCTTTAAGTTTTATTTACGGCCAATGCCTTCGATTAACCAAATTGACTAACTTTGCTGTTGCTGCTCGCCTGAAGAACTCCGACAAAAACTTGAGAAGAAAACGGGTGTGTGCTGAAAGCAAGCCTGATTGCTATTAATCAGTTCCGGCCAGGTTGTTTTTAGCAAGGATCCTTTTATGAAATTTGAGTTCCAGCTGCTTGTGAAATGCAATAAGATATAATAATTTTATAATCTGCTTAATAGACACAATGTTAATACCATTTGTATAATCATCTTTTTCTTTTACCTTACTGTATGATTCAGTTCCATTTCAAGAACTTGATTTTCAATTTGGGAAATTACAATGACATGAAAATTTTCTGATCTTTTTTTTTATTTTTAGAAATTCTCAAGAAAGCAAAAGCTTTTAATATGTTTTGGTTTTTTCGGATAGATTAAAAAATTCGCTGCGGGTGTCAATTGACATGCGTCAGCTGTTCCAAAATGAAATTGTGCTGAATATATTATTGATATTAAACTGAAACCCACTAAATTGTTCGATTCAAAAGAATTTCTAGTTTAGTGGCACTCATTGCACTGAACTTTGGGATTAATTTGATTGGTTTTTTGTTGTGCACACCAAACAACAGACTTACCGTTAGCACATGCCACATGCCACATGGCACATGCGTCACACTCCTTTGGCCTTAAGGCATCTATTTTGTTTTTTTATTTTTTATGATTATATAACTTTGGGAACCCGTGCAGCATTGCAAGTGCAGCAGCCCGGTGTGCAACAATAAAGAAAATAAAAAACTTGGCACCCCCTGCAGGCGAGAGAGATTTAGATCTATGTGTTATAAAAAAAAGGTAAACTCGAACAACAATAACAGCAGGGAGAAAATATCAATGCCGCCAGTTGGTCACAAAGTGCGTCAGAGTCAGAGTCAGAGTCACACAAATGTTGTCACGTTGTTGCAACACGTCGGCGTCCGCGTCACTCTTTGGTTACGTTAACGTGTGCGTTACGTTGCCTTTTGTTGTTACGTAGCCGCAACTTGGTGCTGTCGCCGAGGGTAGTCGAAGAAAGCCCACACAAAAGGCGCATTGAAATTCATATAACGTATTGGACAAGGGAACCCACAACAACAATAACAACAACAGCAAGAATAGCAACATGCCTGCAAACAATATCAATTAAAATATGTACAAGTTTTATTAGCTAAGGAATTGGACATAAGTGAAGAGAACTCAACAAATGGACAACTAACGAGCGGAAACAGTTTGTCTGCAACAAGCGACGCTTGATTAATTTTAAATAAGCGCTAAACTTTTTTATTTTTCGACGCATGCAACGCAACTCGGTTGGGTTGAGGAACAGAGAGAGAGAGAGAGAAATATATATGGTATATACAATGGGTCAGTTGAAATGTTAATCGGAATTTGATTTTCCATTTCAAAGTCAAAGTCATACTTGGACTGTGGCTTAATATATCATTAAAGAATAGTTATTTTCAAAGCGGTTCTTTCGCTTTCCCAACTCAAAGATATTCTTGAACTGTGGAAAAAATATTAAAATATTTATTTAATACTTTATCAAATAAACTTGTCATTTAAAGCTGTATTTTTAGTTGCAAATATTGCAGAGAATTTATATTTCTTGATATTTTCAATAAGAACAATAAATTTTGCGCAGATAATAAATAAATAATAATGCATTTCCAAAGCTGTTCTTTTGAGTAGCAAATATTTATGCAAAAATACTGTCCTCCTTCAATAAATATTCCCCAGCTAATAAATAATTGTCACTATAGAAAATCGTTAGCTGATTAGCTTCTGCTTAAATACTTGCTTCAAGCCACTTGTCTTATTAAAGAATCTGCACTTTAAGTAAAGTATGCAAAAACCTAAATCTTTATGCAGCAATTCCACCTTTTTTTGCATTTTGCCCTTCAGTCATTTTGCATCTCTGCCATTAAATGTGCAATAAATTAAGCAGCGTTAGTAAATAATTAAGTCATTAGATTGATTGTCGCCAGCAAGTTCTTCAACTTGTTGCACTTCTTCATTGCCAATTAGCACTTGCTTAACCGTAAAGTAGTTTGGCTCAGACCCCTCTCCTCTCTCCCCTCTCTCTGCTCACCCTTGCTACTTTGTAGTTTCTTTGACCCAACTCTGTCGCCTAATCGCGTTCTACTTTGATATGCATAACACGATCTATGAAGCCAAACGCCATTCATCAATCGATTCAACAATAAATTCAACTAATCGCCACATATCACGTTCCCTACCCCCCTCCCATCGTTCAACCTCATTGGCGTCTATAGAGGAATGGAATCTTAACTTGTTAACGATACTTTGCCATTAAAATTTTGGTGAATCGCCTTTTGTGCGCTGATTCAATAACAACAACAACAACAACAGAAGCAACTACAGTAAAAAAGTGTAGCCACAAAAATCGAAAGAATTCTTTTACTAGTTTGTTGTTTTTCACATGTTTTTCAACAAATTGCGTGTTGGCAGCGCGGGTGGTTGGTGCTGCAAAGGGTGGAGGCGTGGCCGTGTGGCAGTGTGTGACAATTTTCTCATATATATCCGAAATGAAAGAGAAAATTTAATTTGCAGGTCACGTAATTTGCTGGTGTATATGTCTCTGCGAGCGTGTGTGGCACGCCCCCATTCTCGCCTCCACGCACACACACACATACCCGCAGTGGCATGTGTGTTGGTAAATAAATTTGCCTGGCTGTGTGTATCTTTTCGCTATGTGTGTGTGTGTGTAATACATGTAAAAATATGCAAATCCAGTCTACACATATGGCCAGAGCTTTCTGTTTTGTCGTCGCTGGCGCACACTTTACAGTTATGACTGTTTATTTGGTTGCAGGCCATGGGCCAAAAAAAGAATAACAACGGAAAAAAGCCCATCGATTGTGAGCAGACTTTCAGAGGCTTGAAGCTGAAACAGAAACCCCGAAACTGCGGCTGATAGCAGGCCCTCTTCATGTTTGCCTCCGTAAACTACCCTGTAAATGAGTTGAGAATAACGGGGTGTATTCAACACATCGATTTTATGCTGATAATATGGATTTTTATCTTAGATTATTATTACAACAAGTCAATAAAATGTTTTTGAACTACAAGTTTTATGCTTTTCTGATCAACTTTATGCATTTATAAACTATATTTAATTCCTCAGGAAAACTAATTGTGTTGTGTTAAACCAATTGGTATTTGCAAGCGACTATTGTGCTTTAAATAGTGTATCAAAGTAAATCGCACTTTGGTTCAATTTATTTTGTTTCGGTATTCGGTTTCATTACGTTACTAGTAATATCAGTTTATGTTCCTTCAATTGTTGAATTCCTGTTCCGGTAATTCAATGGGTAAGGTTGCGGTTCCGCTTCCCACTTCTGGTGTCACTTGGAGACCCTAGAACTTCCACACAAATTTATTTGAAGTGCCATGCAAATCTGATTATTATAGACTAGTCTTTGAATTGTGTTATAATTTGTCTCCGTAAAGTTATTATCCAAAAATTACAAAATTTACTTAGTTAACTATAGATTTATGACTGGTACGACTGCTTTAAATTGGTCTCAAATTTAATAACATATAATTAAATATTAAACAACCCTGCCTCTCAAGTTTCTCCATTAAAATGCGCTGCCAAAAATGAGATAACTAGGAACGTAATCTGAGAGTCGAGCACTCCTTCAACTTTTACCGCTCTATCTATCTTATTTTATTTATTTTTTTGTTGTTTTTTTTTTTGGGGTCGTTTTTTGTGTGGCATACTTTTTGGCTTATTAATGTAACGTTAAACTTTGTTGTTTTTGGCTGTTCTTTTCCTTTTCCTTTTTTTTTTTTTGTTGCTTTTGTTGTTGTTTTGGGTTGTTCTGCTGTGACTGTTGCTTTTATCATTAACTTTATGCAAAAACTTTTTATGCCAGCACCATTTGCCGACGCGCCTACATTAAGCCAACAAATAGTTTGGCTCACAACTGGCAGCCATTTCAGTTTGGCACACTTCCCTAATGCATCTGTCTGTTACACCCATACCCACAACCAGCACTCTCCCCTCGATCTGTCTGCTTGCCGCCTCTTACTTATCACAATTTGCATCTTTCCACTTGCAGTCCAATTACCTCATGCAGTTTGATTATCTGCCCGAGTCGGATCTGAAATCGGGCGCGCTGCGCTCTGAGAGCCAGCTAATAGAGGCAATACGTAATCTCCAGGTACGTTGCTGCTGCCAAGCAGATGTTGTTGCATGCTACATGCTACATACTACATGCTGCACATAGGCGAGCTGTGTATGCCACATGTATTATGCACAATTTCACAAACTAACATTTTGTGTCCGTCTGTCAGGAATATGGCAACATTCCAGTTACGGGCAAAATCGACCAGGCTACGGCCAAACTAATACGAAGTCCCCGTTGCGGCGTCGGCGACAATAAGAATTCGTATAATTTCTCACCGGATAAGCTCCGGGATCATGGCACACGTCAGCGACGCTATGTCCTTCAAGGCGCCAAATGGAGTAAAACGGATCTGACATGGAGGTGAGTCTAACGTAGACAAATAAATATAACTATTATTATTGTATAAGCAAAGTTGGCTCCTATTTCAATTGCCCAACGAGCTGCATTTACCTTGAAAGATTGTATCACTCTAAGAGTAAGAGGAAAAGGAAGGAGAACAAGTTGAACAAGAAGAAGAAGCACCAGGATATACATTAATGTATTAGAAAACACTATTTGGCAGCACTGAAGAGAGCTTGGCTTGAAAAGTTATTCAACTCAATGAGTAAATTTTGAATTGTTAAGCAATTTTAAAGGTATACAAAGCATGTAATATAACCTAAATTTCAACAGCTACCCAAAAGTATGCCACACAAATAAGAGCTCTTTGTAGCTTTTAAATGCTGCAAGTATTTAAAACCCTCACAAACTAAACTAAACATTGGCTTAATGCTCAAAGTCTGTGCCACAAAAGGCTATTAAATAATTGAGCGTATTATTGCCAACCAGAAAAAAAGGATAAAAATGTGTTTAATCAAGAGAATTTGGAGAGAAATGCAACAGTTTTGAAGCGATTTTATTGGCGCATTGTGAGTCCTTTTTGGTTGAGTAACCAACTGTTTGCCAATGCATTTAACTGGCAGCAAACCATTTGATAACAATTTGAACAATGACCATTTCTCTCTCACTTTATTTTTCACTCAATTTTCCCTTTTCACTTTATCAACGAAAAGCCAACAAAAAAACCGAAAAAAAAACTGGAACAAAAAACCAAAAATAAGAAAAAAATCTGCCAGTTGAGGTAGGCTTGACTAGGAAATGACCTGTATTAAGGTTTAATCGTGACAAACGTTAGTTAAAAGTGACAAAATAAGTAAGTCAGTTAGAATTTAGTTTTTTTTTTTAGATTCCTTTGGAAATGAACTCTTTTGAAAGCCAGAAAATCGATTAGATTAATATGTTGAATTCTAACATATATACATTTAAGAAAATCCTTCCAGTCCCCGCAATTTTTCTGTAGGGTAAAGAGAGAAGAAAAAAGAGGAGAATAAAGAGAAAAAGCTGAGAACTAAGGCCAATCGATGACAGAGCCAAAATGCGAATGACAAAAGAGTCACAATTGTTGACCTTTTGCGTAGTTAAACAAGTTTAATTAAGACACTCACAGCCAGCACTTTTTGAGTGTGATGAAAACTTTGCTTAACACCTTACGCATAGTTGTTCGACAAGTGGCAAGTGACCCCAAATAGTACACAGTCTAACTAAATACACCGATTGGGAAACTGCAGTTGAAAACTTCATTTGCAGTCAAGTCAAATGGCATATTATAAAAGAGTTTTGCAACAGTTCGCGCGTGTTTTGTTTTATTTGATGTTTTTTATTATTTCCTATTGCGAAACAATTGGCAATTTGGCTTAAAACATTTTTAGGGGCTTGTGCGCAAGTTTTTCTGGCCACTTCCTGTTGTTGGTGATGCGGTTTCCCTCAGATGTCTGTTGATTTGTGTCTTTGTCACTTGCAACACAGCAACAACAACAACAACAGCAACAGCGGCAGCAGCAACAACTCCAACAGTTAATACCACGTTTCTCAAGGCATTTGCTATGGCACACGCAACTTTGTCCATACGCCAGGATGTTGTCACTTGATGTCCTTGTTGTCCTTGTGTGCGCAAACAAAATGAGTACAAAATGCTTAAAACGACTTCCGCTTCGACAATTTGCATGCTGCGTCGCCGGAAATGGAAAAACACTTCTGGGATGCTGTGCGACGTCGCAACTGACTTCTTTTCCCTCTATTTGCCCCAGTCCACCTACCACTCCCCCCTTCCATTGTCGGTCTCCTTTATTCGCCTCCTGGACTGCCTTTGTTTGCAATTAAGCGTGAACACATGCAGTTAAGATGGCGCTTGAATATAAAGAAAGCAGGTCACTGGATATATACATATATATATATATATATATTTCAATTTATTGACTAGTGTTCGCTATTGTAGAGATAAGCCATATTGTTACTTTTTAGTCACAGTGACTGCTGGTTTTAAATATCACTTAAAAAAGTTTCGTTTGAATTATGGAAATATTCGATTTATCTATCTATCTATCTGTTATCTAGCGAAAAACAATTGCCAGTCAACTAGTATCGCTTACTACTAATAATAAGTATCGCTTACAAATATCGAACCAAGCAATTTGTATTTAATTTTCTCTCGTATCTTGATAATCGTTATTCAGTCACCGTATTAAATGTTATTTATCGGTGACTGCGATCTCAGTCACAGTTCAGCTCTAATAGCTAAATGGAGGGGTATTTGGGGTTCGGGGATTTTGTGTGTTTTCTTATGTATATTTCATGTAAACTCAATTTGAGTTGAGCGTTGACCAACCGCTGCGCTTCAAGTAAATGTTTACCTCCTCTTTCGACATCCCCCTCATATCCTTACTGACTTCGCCTTAATGGCCAATTAAGCGTAGACGACACAAGAAATAATTAAATCGCTGCATGCAACGCGCCACAGTGGCATGCGGCATGCAGCATGTGGCATTCAACTACACACACACACACACACATATATATATACATATATATGTATATATGGCGTTAATAGCACACGCGCCGTATGCGTAATCTACAATTGAAGATATTTTCCGGCGCCGCCCAAAAGTATGCAATCGTTTTTTGTTTTCATGTTTTTTGTTTTTCTCGTCTGCCTCACTATGCAAATGACTGAAATTTGTTGCGTGATAATTTAATAAACGAGCTGCCGTTTTTGGCAGCTTCTGCACTTTTTTTTTGTAGTTTTTAATGCTGAACGTATTAAATATTTTAAGCGCAATTATGCAGCTGTTCATTAAAAATCAAATAGAACATTCAAAGTGACAGCTGCAATCAGAGCGCTACTCCTTGGTTTCTTTTTTTTTGCTGCTGTTTCTTCTTTTTTTGACCATCATAAAGTTCAATTTGGCGCAAAGTGTTTAATGAAAGCGCCAAGTTGGCGACACCATGCCCCGAACTGCACGACCTACCCTCTCTCTGAGCACAGCGTGCCAAGTTGGCCATTAACAATTCACGCAGACGTCGCTACGCATGGCTAAGAACCAAATACCAACAGCAACAGCTACAACAGCAACAACAACAACAAAAAAAACAGCAACTTGTTTTACATAAAAACACACTTTAGACATCAAATTATGCAATGCAGGACGCGCCCCCAGCAAGTAATGTTTGAGGGGGTGGACCTGGGGGTGTGGCTTGACAGGGATGAGTTTTTGCAAATCACTTTTTTTTTTTGCTGCGCACTGACAAAATGCAATGACTGTAATAAAAATTAACAAGCTACGCTACGTTTGAGTTTTGAATTAATTGAAAGCGCGTACGCGCAGGACATTCTATCAAGCAAAGGAAGTGGAGGAGCTTGTGGCACAGATTGCTGCAGTTCACTCTGACTATTCGGGGTGTGGTCTTTTGAATACCGTTAGCGCTTGCCTTGTAAAATTATAAATTCGCGTCTAAATGAGCGTTGCAAAATTAATGAACTGCATGCAGTTTAATTGAAATGCTCTGCCAACGTGGGGTTGATGAACGGGGAAAGGGTTAAAACGGATGGCAAAGGGGCTTAGGTGTGTGGCAAAATGCATAATGAAAACCAATTTTAAGCTAAACAAAATGCATCAGCTGAAAGGAGCTCTAAAAAAAGAGTTGCTCGCCACGAAATGGATGAAATAAAAGTAGCAAAAATAACCTTCCAGCGAAGCTTAGGGTTAAATAAATTGAAGGGTAAATCTTATAAAAATTATACAGAAATCTTTAGATAAATCCAAGATGTCAGTGAATCAAAATTTCTATGGTTGAAAGTATTTTATGTATTCGTTTATTTCTACTGATTTGCTGCTAAAATGTAATCTGACGATTTCTACCTGACTAAAAGCCACAGATTGCAGATTGTAACTGTTTCGGTTTTTTATTGACTGATTTTTGTTACGCATACGTAGTGTGGCACACAACATTAACGAGCTGGCGACCATCAAATCTGTGGCTTAGAGGCAGACAGCGGTGTCAATTGGCAATGAGGCAACAAACTTGCAGCACTGACCAGCCACATTAATTGGCAGTTTTGTGTGTGCGTGTGAGTGTGTGTATATTTGTGTGCGGGGCATTAATAAAGCGCAGCATGCAAGATAGTTCTTACTTGGTGTTTGTGGGCAAGTTGTTGCCATTTGTTAGATTTTTAATAACATTAATAAAGTTGTGCACAAAGCAAGAGTCAAAGTGCTGAGCGCACGCCATGTCCATGCACTCAGAAAAACGATTAGAAAGCTTTTCTTATTTTTAAAAATAACTTTGTTATATTAGAAAACAGTTTAGCTGATAATTACTTCAGAGTCCGAGTGTTTTACTAATGATTAATAATAATATAAGTAACATAAAAGCTACTATAAGAATTCTTTCTTAAAAAAGAACACCTTGGAAAGTACGACATATATTTCTAAATTTTTGAATTTGAAATTAAATTATGGAATACAGACTTTTGTAGAAGCCTACAATTTTAGAGCTGTACTTTCTGAATAAGAAAGTGAGGAACCCTTGGCGCCAAAAGTATGGCGAGTTACTAAAAGTCAGGTTAAGTTTTTTCCGAGTGTGGTAACAACAGGACGAGGACGAGGAGCTGAAGACAGGCAGACAGGTCGAGGCAGGCAGGTCGGGCAGGAAGGAAGGAAGGAAGGAAGTGGCAATCGAGTCATATGGCAAGTTTGCGTTTATGCTTATTAGCGCTGGCCCTGGCCTCTCGTGCATGCGAGCCATTAATACAATGCAGAAGCTGACGCAGCAGAAGGATCTCCGCTGGTAGCAGGCAGCAGGCAGTAGGAGTAGTAGCAGTAGCAGACAGGAAGCAGGCAGGCATCCTTTTAGCTGCAACATAAAGAAAACGTGTATGAATGTCTTTAGCATTGGCTGGCTCATAAAAACCTCGACATATACATCACCACGCAGTAGCAGCAGCAACGGCAGGACTCAGGACTCACGACTCAGGACTCTGGCTG